GTTGGGTTTGGAACCAATCTCATCTGTGTTGGCATCCATTTCCTTCCTCAGCTGAACCAAAAGCATTATTATTGACTGGTAAATCTGCAGTTTGAGACTGAAGCTGTCGTAAGGCAGCTTGGCATCAGATAATTCCTCAGATAGCCTCCCAGAGTCCAAGTGTAACATTTGGGTAGATGGGAAAACCTATTTGCCTGGAAGCTGTTTATAATGATTGTGAAGAAATTAACACTTTGCATGAGAGGAAACTTGAGTTACAGAGTCACCATTTAGTTTGACAACTTCTATATAATGTTTTGATAGGGTTGCAGACTTGAAGACCAGAAGGAGCCACTAGATCATCTGATCTGTTTTGCATGTGTTACTAGCCAATTTCTTTGAGCTCAAAGCTTGGGTTTGACTAATGGAGATGTTCCAAAACATTCTTCAGATCACAAGATGGCAGATTCACCAGGTGACTGATATTTTGCTTCAATAGTTGGCCAATTCAAGAATTTTAAAAAGCAGCTTAGTTTGCTTACTCTTTTTCAGGATATGTGTATGATGCCCAGTCTAGTTATAGAACTTAAATGTGATTTGAGCCATCTTGTGTAGAGTGCAAAATTTGTAGGTGAAGTCGGAGGAGTTCTAAGAGTATGACATCCTGACAGGTCAGAGTCAAGGTTGCTCAGAGTATTTGGGCATTTTTCCTTTAGATTATTTCTTCCCAGCTACTTTAAATTACCAACAAAAACCAGTTATATTATGCATGATATACATAGTTTGCGTCTTTCATTGCTGCAGAGAATAACATGGGTATTTTACATCTGGCAGTTTTAAAATAAAGATTAAGATCATTCTTACTCTGACATGACAAAGGACCTCATTAATTTTTAGCGGATAACATTTGTTGTGTGTAACATGTATGTTATTAACTCTTTGCACATTGCTGTTTTGGGCAATCCCACTTGATCACCTCCAAAAGTCAGCTGAACAGCAGAAGGTCATTTGTGGGCAACAGATGCATCTTTAGGGCAAAACATTGAAAGAATATTTTTAAAATTAACAATATCTGGTAGCTGACAGTACTAAATTTTATCTTGACAGATAAACTGTATAGATACAACAGTCTCTTCAATGCCTCTGTTGTTAACCAACAGATTCAGGCAGCATCAATGATACTGACATAAATGAAACCTATAGACTGGCAGTATAACTGTAGAGTGCCTTGGAAGGAAAGCTGAAAATTATCCAGTCTGGTATTTGGGAAACACAACAACCTATCTTACTTGGCAAGATGCCTTATAAGTAAAATTTCTTTGTGTCTTTTGATAGTGCTCAGATTTTTATATCCCTGAAGAATCTTTCACATGAGTACTGCAATTTTGTTGTATAACATTATCTTCTCATTGAGCTCCAGCATCACATCTCAGTTGTAATATTGCTGTTCTTTCTTACCAATACAAGTTGACCTGTTCCTCTCATGAAAGAAAGCACAGCGTTTCATTTAGAGTGCTTGGGGGCTGATTCCCCTCTTACTTTTGTTTCACCCTGTTGAGAAGTTTCTTACAGCAGATTACATTACACAAAGGAATACAGCCCCAGGGTTTCTTTGTAACTTTGCATGGCAAAAGGTACAAGCTGCTTGTTGTAGTCAAGGAATATCATTTAATTTGTGATTTAGATATTACACAGTGTACTGACTGAGGAAATCATCTGTGGTATGGGGGCAACTTGAAACCTTAATACATAAGTATATCAAGGGGTTTTTATAACAACGTGGGAGAGGCCTCAGAAAAGTGCATCACATTTTTCTCATCACATCAACACTTCGAGATACAAAACAAATCACGTGTTTAAACTTCACTACTGGGTTGTGCTTTATCCTCCCCCTCACAAGTGGTCATTGTCCTGGCCCTCAGGAATCATTGCCTTGTTTGTGAATATTATTATAGATTCCACATCTATTCCCCATCTGCCTTTCCTTCTTCATAAGATCTTACAGGTATGAGTTTTGCGTTGAGAGGAACAAGATTAGTTCTGTTTTAAATGTCATGCTCATCCAAAGGGAGGGGAGAAGAGAGAGTGAAGTGTAGTGTGTACCTTCTGCAAATGCTAAAGGGGGAACTTTGCAGCTTCATGCAGGAGGGAGTGAGTTTGCTGTGTTAGAATGTATATGCAGAATGACTTGAAGAACTCTGTTTTTTTGGGAGTAACCTTTCTATATATGTGAATACTTACTACTTTGAAGCTACATTTTTCAATTAAGTTGATATAAGAATCCATTCTCTGGGTTTAGAAATCATCCAAGAGTTCTCTCATTCAGGTCTCCACTCACAGTGCAAAAGACACCTGTATTTTACACTGTAGGAAGAGAATCACGAAGGTGCTTTAATTGTATTCTGTACTTTACTATGCAACTGCGTGTTCCTGGTTTTGACTGTACTGCCATCTGTCATATTTATGAGAATATGAAGTTTTGAGATGGCCTGCCAGCATGGTTTCTTTGAGTGATTAATCAGGTGTTGCTCAAAAAAAAAACTTGCCTTGTACTCCAGTGCCTCTCTATCTTTACATAAAATATGATAGTCTATTCAGTTGTGAGAGGATGTTCAAAAGTCTGCCTGAGTACAACTGAAATAGTGCTTTGCCTGAGCTTTCAGATAACCTGAAAGTAGCAATGGGGTTGGAATGGCCCGGTTCATTTTACTGGATGCTTTAGTGCTGGAGTTCTGCTGCGTATACGTGAGACCAGAGGGAAGCAGCGGTACCGGCCCACTGCCGGTGAGGTGTGGTTGAGACAAAAAAAACGCTGAGTTTGAAATGTGTGGAAGGTAGATATGTCGAGGACACTTTTTAAAAATTTATTTAATGATGCTTTTTATTTTTTTCCCCCAGAAGATCAAAGGAATTAACTTTCAGAAGTTTGGCAATCATTTTAGTGTGCAACAGTAAGCAGCTAGAGTCATACAGTATTTTTACACAGTCATTGTCTCTTTCTCTTGCTGATATAGTTCCTATTAGAAGTGATAAATAATTTTAAATTTGACTTGATATTTTAAAAATAACTGAATTATAATTTATTTGAGCAATAGTTGTACACATGACTTATTAAAATACTGTCAGGTGGCTTATAAAAGCAACAACATTCCACTATTGGAACAAAGTTCCAAGTACATTAATAGCTACCTTGAGAAAACTTTTAGATAACCACAATTAGAAAGAACTAAATTAGGTACTGAGCCCTCTCAGAGTGCTTTAAGGGGATGGCTGAAGTTATTTCTGTGCATCTAAGCCTTCCTTTACCTGCATGTTTTGCTGAATTAACAGAGCAACTGCAGATGGTAGTGAAAATTGATAGGTCCAAGTTACATAATATTCTCTGAGTGATAGATTCCAGTGCTTGAGTGGGACTGGATTTATTCTGATGTCATAGCTAGAGGTCGGTGTTCAAATGTGAATGTACATTTGAAATGCTCAGCACTTTTCCCAACATTTGCATACCTGTTTTTATAACTGTTAATGTTTACTGTGTGGTAGGGTATTCACCTGAAATACAGAAGGTACACATGGCTCTCCAGCAGGAGACTGATAAAAGAAGCTTAGGAAAATAATGGTGCTACTTTTTTTTAAATCTTTTTAAGAGATCACTTAAAGTCTAGGTATCCTGTAGTTGAGCCAGAATCCTAGGGAGCTCTTTTGGCAATGCACTGTGAATTAAGTGCTATTGTTTCTTCCACTTTCTCATGCCTTTTTTTTTTTTTATGCTTGGAAATCACCTACCTGTCCACTGTAACCAAAAGGAACCAATTACCCTATCACCCTCTTCCTGCTGTAAACAGACACTTTGGTAAACCATTTGCATTGCTTGGATATGTTTTGCTGCAACATATGGAACTACAGTACTAGAATTAAGGACACTGTAGTAGCAAATAATAATGAGTACTTAGTAGCAATGCTCCCCCTGCCCCATGTTTAATTGGTGTGATATTTGTCACAGTGCGCTGTTGTGTAATTTATACAACCCTTCATTACTGTTTCTGTCACTTCCTTACTCTCCATTCCTTGCTACAGTAATTCTCACTTTGGATGTTCTGAGAGCTGGCATTGGATCCTGTAAACTTAAAACTGGACAACAATAATCATAATCAATAGCTACTGCCATCATCTTTGGTACAATTCAGTTTAATTTATGCATTGTACAGATTAATGTCACTGTCTTCCTTCAGGGCTCATTTTGTAGATGGAGAAAATAAGCAGGCTAGATTTATATAAATTTCTTAATTGAGAAAACTCACTGAAAGGGTTGAAGGATTTTTCTCTGTATTTCAGTAGGAGTAGCCTGAGAGAAATAGAATAATAACTTGGTTTCATAGAGCAGCTGCATTTCTGCAACATGTAGGAAGAAGAGCCTAGAGCAGGTTGCAGAGCTAGCAGTTGGCTCCTGCTGTGTTGCCTTTTCCCAAGAGTGGGAATAGCTTCAGTATTCTGAGAAGTGGGAGGGAGGGAACTGTATGTTGAGAACCTGTTGCTCATCTAAAGATGCAATGTTTGAAGAAGTTAGGGGTGAATATGAACTTTTCAAAGGTCAGACAATGTCATTCTTTAGGTACTGAATTCTTACTGTCCATGTGAAAAATATTAATATATTATAGCACTTACTTATAATCCCATGGGTTAAGAGAGATGCGGTACAACAGTTGCTGCCACTGGGCCAAACCAAGTATATTGTCTGAAATAAAATTTTTATACAGCTGGTAAAGAACATGTTGGGTTATGGTAACTATACTTCAAAATAATATTTGGGAGAAAAGCAAAGCCTTTTGAAAACTTTAAATCTTACCGTTTTAAAAAATAGCTGAACAAAAATTTCCAGTAAACTGAAATTGCACATGAAGTTATCTGAAAATCAGTGGGAATTTTGACCTTTCTCTTCCTCCAAAGGGAAGGGACAAAGAAGATCAAAATTTTGCACTTAATAAATGAATTTCTCATAAGTATGTTTTTGTTTTGGTTTACAGATCAACCCTGGATTTGGAATATTCCTTACGCTGATGCCCCTGATACGCATGGAAATATGTGGGTTCCATCATGAATGTTTCTAGTACTTTCACTTGCTGACACTGAGCCTGCCATGCTACTTGCAAGATTGTTTATTTCTGTTCTGTAAGCTGTAATGTTTGTCATAATGGCTAATTTGTAGTTGAAATAAAAATTAAAATGTAGATAATGGAGAGATTCTCGGAGGATCTGTAACCATATTATTGTAAAGGGACCTGCATTTTTTAATACCTTTTTATATGTTTTTTCCTTACTGTGGTTCCTAATATGCTTTTCAAGATTAGAACTGTTCTCAGAGATTCCCTCTGCATTTTTAGCTGTAAGGAATTTAAAAATTACTGTTCTGTGAGACTGTTTAGTTGACCCCACTACCTGGAATAAATGTTATTGTATGTAAGATTTAAATAAAAATAAAATCAATCTTGTTTGCATATCCTTGTTCCATCTTCTAAGTGTATGCATTTTAGATTGGATTGGAATTTTGCTTTGCAGTGATCACTTCTAATGCAAACACTAATATTCACTGGTTTGGTTTCTTGCATTATTTGGTGGCTTCTCAGTTATTTCCTAATCTTCTTTTTTCCCCCCTTGCAGACACTCAGACACTGTCCAAACACTAAATTACACTGGATGGGCTTGAGAGCTGCAGAGCAGCCTTAAATAGTGTTGTGGGATGTATGAACAACTGGTCCTGCAGCCTGGCAATCCTATGGTATAGTGTGGTACTTAATTCAGAGTGTTTTACTCTGGATCCTAAATAATCTAACTGGGTAGCTGTTCCATTGCTACTGCATTCATTTTGCAGTGTCATCCTCAAGATGGTTTGGAGTACACTGGGAGAGCACTACTTTCTAGTATTTGTCTAATATCAGTTTCTGATTTATTCAAAAATTACCACAGAAAAGGTGCATGTTTAGGAAACTGTCCTCGTGTCTGCCTAGCAAGGTGAAGTTGTCTTTTGTTTTCCTATATCATCCCAGACCAATCCATAGAGAAACTCTTTGAAGTACTGCTTCTTTTCCATCTTTCAGATCCTTTCCCTGTTTTTCTACCTTCTCTAGTTACACTCGAGTTCTCTCAGAAGGGTTATGGCTTTGAGTCATTGTTGGGGAAATTATTGTACAGTCTCATATTCAAGGGGTAAATGGATCTAAATAGGGAAATAGCCTTGCCTGTATCAGAGAGGAATTTTACACATTGTTCACAGCAAATACTAGAAATGTGGGTATTTAGGTTGCTCATTTCTTAGCTCATGTTGGCAATATAGAGGCTCAGTAATCATTCTTATTGCTTTATCTGGTTTTGTGAACTTTTCAAATAATGTGAGTTGAGTAAGGATCAGAGTGCATTTCTGTATGCAGACTCTTTACTGTTCATGCTACATGCAGAAACTGTTTGATTCTGTCCCTGATGAGCCTGAAAAGACAGGGATCAGGGAAGGCAACTTGGAAATGGAGCACTGTGCTCTAAAAACTGAGATAGCAACTTCATTGTTAGACTTTCTTTTTAACAGTGTAACTATTTTAATAATTTTCATCCTGTGAGAATTAGAGAAGTTCTCTAAGTAGGAAGATGTCTTTACATGAGGAAAGCTTTAAGAGCTCTAGAAGGCTGGCTAGCAGTTGGTGGGCATTTTTCCTGAATTTGTGAAGAATGTGATTTATTAATGTTACATACATGAGTATTTCTGGTTTTGTCATAGAATGGTTTGACCAGCTCTGAGGCATTCCTGGTAAATTCCAGCTGGAATCTTTCAGTGTCCAGGAATTTGGTGTGATTTAACTTTAGCTCTTCAAGGCTCAGATTAATGAAAGTGTCAGAAGATCATTCCAAAGTCTGCCTTTGGGGACAAATAAACCAAGTGATCAGTTCCAGTAGGAAAACACTCAGGAAATCTTTCCAACAAAGAGCTGTGACCCAAAGCAACTTGGGCTGTGGAATAAGCATGGAAGTGAGGCAGTGCTGAGTGGCAGAGGGGAAAGAAGAGTGAAGGTGAGGGCTTTGTTTTGTTGGACAGTATGTGGTGTGAGTCTAATGGTTCAAATAAAGGTTGAGTTTGGTTGAAAATGACATGCATGTAGTTCTGTTTTAACTGTTTAAACAATTCTCTTCCAAAAAGACAAGGAAAACCCATTTTGAAAAAAACCTGTCCAAAGATAACTAAAACTCCAAGGTGGCAACAGTCTTTTGCAGCCAGTCCTATGCAACCCAAACTGAGCTGCACTTCAGTACACACTGGAGCTGGACAGAAGGCTCTTGGGAAAACCTTTGGCCAGAAAATGTTATTTAATAACAATTTTCTAGACCTGCATGCTCTCAGGTGCCAGGGCAGACTTGAAAACACTTCTTGATTGTCCAAATTTTAATTTTTTTCTCGTCAGAGTATTTTTAAATTATATTTTTCATGCCACCCTAATAATGTTTTGTTTCGTACTCTGGGTACCCAATATGTGTGTTTGACAAAAGCTAGGATGGAGATGTAATGTTCTTTATGGTGCTAGATGCTGCCTAATCCCACAGATATTTCTGCTGACATTCTACAGCTGTGGAATTAATCAGTGCCCCAGGATGTCAGAATTTTAGCCAAACACTGACAGCGGTCACACCATTCCCTCTCTCTTACCTCTGAGTTTCTTTTAATCTGAGCAACTGTAACTGGCATCCTGAAGGGCAAAGAAAGAAACTGGAAAGTACTGGAGGCTGAGAGGAGCTGAGTAAATTCAGAGAATTAAGTTCCTGTGTTAATCTCCAGTTTTTCTATCCTTGGCTTATCTTCATTTTGTAATATACTTCTCTGCTTCTCTGTTTATCAAAAATTTGTCACTACTCAAACTAATTCCCAATTACTGCTCTCTAAATATGTTTGTAGTGCTTTCAAGGTATTATGATCCCATTGTATTAATCAACGTAAAAGTTCATCCTTTAGTTGAAAGTATTTTCCACTGTTTAGGATGGAGGAATGCTTGGAGGCTCCTGGAGTCTTCTACCAACTTTTTTTCTGACTCTGTTATGTCTTTAAACAAGTTGATTTTTGTGTCTTAGTTCTCCCTTAACTGCAAATTATTGCCTCTGAATTGTGGTTGGTTGGTCAGCAGTTTGAGAAACTAAGCTGTCAGCCCCACGGTGGCTTTTTTCCTGTTGAAATGATGGAAGATAAGCAGCATGCAAGTGCAAAGTGACTTCCAAAAGTGGAAGTTGTTCTTGAGGACAGTTCTTTAAGAGCCCTTTATAGGGGCTTCTAAGCCCTGTCTATCTCTGCCTCACTTTTCCAATTGTAGAAATTAATTTGCAAATACCTTCAAATAAAAGTGCCCCTATAGGATGTTCCCCAACTATAAGTGAAATATTGCCTTCCCCAAGAGGACTAGAATCCCATACTTCAGCAACTGAAGTAAAAAAGATGGAAAAAGTGTTCACATTTCTCATTTTTTGAAAATGTGTTTTATATAGCCAGGTTCAGCAATCTTATCTGCTAAGTGCCTTCTGGTTTGTGAAGGCAAGGGGCAGCATTCCAGCTGAACATGAGCAGCAGTGTGCCTGGGTCGCCAGGAAAGCCAATGGCATCCTGGCTTGTACCAGAAAGAGTGTGGCCAGCAGGACCAGGGCAGTGACTCAGCACTGGTGAGGCCACACCTCGAACCCAATGTCCAGTTCTGGGCCCCTCACTGCAAGACAGACCTTGAGGAGCTGGAGTATGTCCAGAGAAGGACAACAGAGCTGGTGAAGGGTCTGGAGCACAAATCTTATGAGGAGCAGGTGAGGGAGCTGGGGGTATTTAGCCTGGAGAAAAGGAGGCTCAGGGGGAAACTTGTCACTCTCTGCAACTACCTGGAAGGAAGCTGTAGCAAGGTATGGGTTGGTCTCTTTTCCCGCATAACAGGTGACAGGACAAGAGGAAATGGCCTCAAGTTGCACCAGGTGAGGTTTAGATTGGATATTAGGAAAAAATCTTCACAGAGGGTTGTCAGGCACTGGAACAGACTGCCCAGGAAAGTGATGGAGTTAACATCCCTGGAGGTATTAAAAGATGTGTAGATGTGGCACTTGGGATATGGTTTACTGGTGGACTTGGTAGTGTTAGGTTAATGATTGTGACTTGGACTAAATGATCTCAAGGTCTTCTCCAACCTAAATAATTCCATAATTCCCTATTTCATATTCCTGCTCCTCTAGCAGTATGTTTCATTATGTATAACGTTTGTTGAGGAGTATATTTCAGCCCTCCCATAGCTCCTCCCAAGATAATTAGTGATTTTTGGTTAAGTGTACCAGCTAATCACTTCCAAAGGAGATCTCTAATTAAAAATACTGACCCTATGAAAGAGTGAGAGTAACTAAATCCCTGCATGAGTCTTCCAAATAATTTGATGATGCATTAATAATAATTCTATTCTGACCAGACATTTGTTGGTAATCATTACTAGTGACTGTAGCTTTCTTAATTACAGGGTTGTCATTCAATATTATCAACAGAATGAGTAAATACATTGATTTTTTTTTTTCCTATTACTTTACAATGGTGCTAAGATTCACCACCAACAACCTGTTGTCACTAAATGCCTGCACACACAGACACCGGGGAGCTGTGAGGGGTAGGACAGACATAGCAAGTTTCCTGGTAATGATGCCATAAGTGGCTGTACTGAGGTTAATGGCAATGCTTTCAGGGCTCAGGCTCTCAAGATGCAAACTTAGGTCTGGGGTTAATTTAAATGTCAGCAACATATTTAACAAGTTTTTTTACCTGAAACTAAAAGATTGATTTTATTTTTTAGCTTATGCCAGTGAACACATTGTGTTTCTTCATTCAGCCTTGCTTAAATGTTCTGAACGGGTGACCGCATCATTACACTGTTTGTGCTCTCCACACACTCCAGTTTTTCCAGGTACCTACCAAGAGCAATGGAAATGGTGACCTTTGTTACAAAAAAGTATTCTTTAGAGTAAGTACCTTAATTAAAACAGGGGAATAAAGGAAGAAAAGGAGCTTAAAACAACAAAAGGTGCCACGCCTTTGATATTTGCCAGCCTCTTCTCATTTTCTTCTTCAGGATTCCAGTCAATATTAACTCTCTCTTGGTCTATCGCTTAAAAAGCTGCTTTTTTGAAAGGTGATTAAATCACTGCATATCCTTCATAGTGTTTTAGTTTGGTGAAGATCAAATTTGACAAATCAAGGGAACTTGCAACTTTTGATGACCAGTGACAGTAGTAAACTTCATTGTCTTTCAAAACTGTGCCAGATGTTTTTACCTGCATTAAAGTGATAACTCCCTTTATGCCCAAGACCAACACCAAAATAACTATTCCACACTAACAAAATAATATGTAAATAAGGAGGAACTTAATAACTTTGAATAATTTTCCTTGGATAATCCTTAGGATTGTTATTCACATTCCTTTGGGCAATCACATTGATGTCATGGTTGCAAACAGTTAAAGGCTCCTTTTCCCACTGTGCTAATCCAAGCCACCCTTAGAACAGCTTTGATGGGTGGAGATTTTAGTGAGGACTGAGGGTGCTCACTCAGTTCTGCTGCCAATGCTGGCTGGGAGCACACTGATTGAGTTCTGTCTTCTTTCTGGCTGGCAAAGCAGGGAAGTATAGGTTGGGGGTCTTTTACTCTAATAGGAACTATTAATAATTTTAAAGATATACCAGCACTTTTTATGGAAGCATGTGGTTACCTTTAGCACTTGTCACAGAGTCTGGTTAGTTTGACTGGCATCTCGTTTTTCTATTTTTCACTATTTAGTGTCTTCCAGCATTGCTGCTAATTTTGATTGCCATATGTTAGTCTATACTGAAGACTAATGATGAGGGAATAAAAACTTGCAACATGATGTATCACCTATGAATAACAACTAGGAAAAAAATGATGAGGATGCATGAATCCTATTCATCCTTGGCTGTTGGTTTACTGTGCAACATGAGGAAAGGACATGGCTTTTCCCCATCTGTGCTGCCCAAGCAGCTGTTGCTACGCAGCTGGTGATCCTATCCCAAACACTGGCAGAGAACTGCCCACAGTGCACCCCCAGGGCTCAGACCAATATCCAAATATATCTCAGGCTATGAGACCATCAATGGCTCTTACAACCACTATCTACCATTGTGCGAGATTTCTAATTGCTAAGACCTTAGAGTTCATTCCCATTGCATTTTGACTGCAACATAATTAGAAAATAGAAATAGAAAAGAGGTGAAGGGGAGTAGATGTTACAGTAATAGCTCAGTAACCTGATATAAAAAAATATATGTAGGTTGTCTTTCACTGGAAAGCGTTTATATACTAATATGTTTAACAGAGCTGAATTCCAGCCTCCAGTTATTTTAAAGTAGAATTCAGCACTGTACTAACTGCCAGATATTGCTGAGTTTAGCTTTTTCTTCTTGTAGTAAGAATATTTCCAGAAGATTTGGATCAAGAGCTCTTTGAACCTGCAAATAATGCCTTTTAAAACCACATTGCAGCTGGAGAGCTGCCTCTGTCTTCCCTTCACGACTTCCCTTTGACTGCCCAGCGCTGGAGGATGAAGACGTAACACTTGTCGGGAAGGCGATGGATAACCAGATCTGTGGAGAAGGAGGTGCCCTCTTTTGGCAAAGGGCGGTAATTTTTATGGCTTTGATACCAGAGGCATATCACTGACTGAAGGGTTTCACTCCCGATCTCTCTAAGAGGCCCCGTTGCCTGGGGCACTCCTCGGCCCCACGGCAGGGGCTGGGCACAGGCCGGGAGGGAAGGGGGAGCCCCTTGTCCCTGTGAGAGGTGGAGGCAGCGGGGCGGCCCGCCCTGCCAGCTGCTCTCCTGGAGCTCCGGAGACACCTCCGGGGGCGGCGGCCGGGCCTCTGCCGGGGGGAGCGACCCTCGGGGGGGGCGGAGGACACCGTCGGGGGCGCGACCCGGGCGGAGGAGCCCCGCGGCGGGGGAGGGCGGCGGGGCGAGCTGGCGCGGATCCTGCCTCGCCCCCGCCACCAGGCAGGAGGCGCCTGGCGATGCCTGTCCTTGCGCCCCGCTCCGACGTGCTCGGGGCGGGGGCAGGAAGGGGATATGAAACTGGCGGGCACGGGAGCCCGGCGCGGCGGGCGGTGAGGCTGAGGGGCTCTGCGGGACGGGACGGGGAGGGGACGGGCGGTTCCCTCGCCCGCAGGATGCGCTGCAGCCCGAAGCGCGTCCGCCTCGCCCTGCCCCCGGGGCCAAGGTGCCGGCCGGCTCTCCGGAGCGCTGCTCGCCGTCGCCGGGCTCCGCGGCGCCCTGAGCCCCACAGCCCCGCGCACGGCGGGCGGGCGGTGCCGTGATGCCCGGCGGCGGCAGCGGGGCCCCGACGTAGCGTGGCGGCGCGGAGCCCCGTCCCGCGGGGCGGAGGATGGCGTGTGGCGGCGGCTGCTGCTGCTCCAGCGCGGGTCGCCTGAACGCGGACAACGCGCGGTTCCTCCTGCTGGCGGTGCTGATCCTGCTCTACATGCTGTGCGGCGCCGCCGTCTTCTCGGCCATCGAGCTGCCCACGGAGCGGGAAGCCAAGGAGCGCTGGGAGGAACGGCTGGAGAACTTCACCCGGCGCCACAACCTCAGCCGCGCTGAGCTCCGGCGCTTTCTCCGGGAGTACGAGGAGGCCAACGTGGCCGGCATCCGTGTCGATGACATCCGGCCCCGATGGGATTTCACCGGCGCTTTTTACTTCGTGGGCACCGTCGTTTCCACTATCGGTGAGCGGCGGGACGCGCTGGCGGCAGCGGCCGGACGGGCGGGGACCGGGGCGGCGGTGGCGAGGCCAGGGCGGGGGGGCCGGGGATGCGCAGCCCCTTTCTTCCTCCCCAGTTCCCGGGCTCACAGCGGGCTCCTGCCGGTGCCGGGCATGTTCCTGTCTCCTCGCTGCTCCTTTTTTGCCTTCTCCTGTCAAAGAGGCGCTGCCGCGGTCCCACCACGCTTGCGGGAAGCGCTCGCCTCTGGGAGCGCCCCCGGAGCCCCGGGCAGCACCGGCTGGCGCTGAGGGTGGTGCTCCGGGCGGGCAGGGCAGCGGACACCACACTACTCCCCTCGCCCGTCACTTGCCTGCGCGGAACAACTTGTCCGGGGTGCCGTGGCAGACTTTGTGAGAGACCAGCACATCCAAAGCCGAAAGCTCTAAACGATCGCTGTATGTCTTCAAAGTCTGGGAAATCTTATAACAAATCTTAGATCTGGAGGTAGATTGTTTCATAGGCTGTAAGATCAGAAGGGCCCTTTCTGAGGATCGTCTGGTTCTAACAAGAACCATGAAACAGATTTTATGGTGTCCAACTGCAAAGTGTGCAACTTGGAAAGCCTGGGTTTCAAACCACTTGGCTTTTTGCTCTTCAGGCTCTCCGAGGCAGAAGCATCAAGTCAGTGGGCACAACTTATTTCGCTGTAATAATAAATAAATAAACCCAAGTTTATTCAGGCTGAAGGAACCTTCAGGGGAAGGTGATATTGAATAGAAATTCCGAGGGCTCTGACAGGTGCACATTAAGATTAAAAGGGATAGCACCAGGAACTGACATAAGCACCCCAGGGAGCCCATGGGTGTCAACAGAAAGGCTTCATTCAAGCAGCTGCAGACAGCTAAAAGACTTGTTAAAATGGAGCTTGCTTTAGTTAAAGACGGGCAGTCTGTGTGTAGTTACCACTGTGACAAATGGGGTCACTAAATCTTAGTAATGGTATATCCAATTCACATTAGACTCCCTCCACAAGTGAAACGCACACTGAGGTGTGAATGTTTAATCACCAACAGCAATTCTTTAGGAAATCTCCATTAACAGTTTTTTCCTGAAGAGCAGTTTAGAGATGCCTTGCTTTTTGTGGTATATGTGAGAGTTTGTGCTGTCCTGCAGCACACCCCTCCCTAATACTGACTTTTTTAGGACTAGGGTTATTCTGTTGTTAAAGATGTTATCGATTTGGTTTAATATTTCCTCAGGGCCTCAAGACTGGGTGTTTTGTGTCCTTAGACCTAAAGTCTGTAAGACACAAGAACTATGCTTCACTGTTCTGCTGAACTGGTGATTTAGAGTAACTTATAACACTGTTAAGCCCATTTTTGTGAATGTCTGTAATTTATTTGCCACTGTAACATCTCCCTTAAAGCATGCTTCTTGTATGATCAAAATAAAATGTTTATACTAACCTTTGCTACAGCCATAAAATCGTATAAAGAGCCAGGATCAGATCTCAAAAGTCCACCTTGTTTGCCTCTGTTCCTAGAGGAGGTCAGTTATATGTAACTTCTTTTTTTTGTGATAGCAGTTGTCCAAGCTGCCATTTTATACCTGCACTGCTGGAGATTCCACAGCTTCCACAAGGAATCCAGCCTTTGTTCATTATTACTCTGAGGTTTTCCTGATGTCTACCTTCTGCAGTTCAGTGACTTGTGTTATTTTTATCTTGCCATCCTTCATACCCAGAGGTATCCTTCATCCTTCATACCCCTTTGCCTCTTAGGTACTCAAAGACCATTGTCAGTGTGTCCCTTCAGTCTTCTCTCAATTCAGAAAACCACAATGTTGTAACCCCCTTTTCCAGTGATACAGTTAATTCTCACATGTACTAGCTGATGTTAGTAGTTCTACATTAATATATGTCTTCTATAAATGAGATTGGTAAGGAGAGAAGTGTATCTGTGGTACTACTAACTGTAGTTGCTCACAAACACAAGTATCCACTTATCCACTCACACTTTTTGGTAATTTCTCCGGCTTGCCGATTTCCATTGCCCCCATTTTACAGCTCCCTCAGTGTTTCTGCAGAAGAGTCCTTTTTCCTTCAGATTGTGTGTGGTCTGTAGCCTTTGGCAATTTACACCCTTTCCCTTCTTTTTACCTGACATTGCTTTTCTAAGTCTTATCAGTGGTGGCACTTTCTCAATGTGTTTTATGAATTGCATCATTCTTTCTTAATCCACTCAGTGTCATTGCACACTTTCATCATATCAATGGCAACAGGACCCAAGGGAATGGCCTGAAGTTGTGTCAGGGAAGGTTTAGGTTGGATATTAGAAAAATGTTCCTCACCCAGAGGGTGGTTGGGCACTGGAACAGGCTCCCCAGGGAAGTGGTCACAGCACCAAGCCTGACAGAGTTCAAGAAGCATTGGGACAATACTCTCGGGCACATGGTGTGACTCTTGGGGATGGTCCTGTGCAGGGCTAAGGGTTGGACTCGATGATCCTTGTGGGTCCCTTCCAATTCAGCATGTTCTGTGATTCTGTGGTATATCTTTCGTAATCTTCTCAGTAGCACTTCTGCTTTGTGAGACTGATTTTGCATTTCAATGCTTTAACTTAACTTGTGCTAAATGGCTGGGCTCTCCAGGCATTCACAGGATCCTGCTTCGACCAGGTCCCCTCAGATGTACTACTCAGGAGCATTTTCCTGCAGGCTCTGCAACCACACACTCATGTGTGTCAACCGTACTGGCATCCTAACAATAGATTTTATTTTACACATCTAAAATCAAGGGAGCCACAAGGATCATTTGAGTCCAACTCTTGGCTCTGCACAGGACACCCAAGAGTCAAACCATGTGCCCGAGAGCATTGTCCAAACGCTTCTTGAACTCTGTCAGGCTTGGTGCTGTGACCACTTCTCTGGGGAACCTGTTCTAGTGCTCAACCACCCTCTGGGTGAAGAACCTTTTTCTAATGTCCAATCTAAACCTTCTCTGACATAATTTCAGGCCATTCCCTCAGGTCCTGTCACTGGTCACCACAGAGAATAGACCAATGCCTGCCTCTCTGCTTCCCCCATGAGGAAGCTGTGGACTACGAAGAGGTCTCCCCCCAGTCTCCTCTTCTCCAGGCTGAATAAACCAAGTTACCTCAGTCGCTCCTCATAAGGCTTCCCCTCTAAGCCCTTCACTATATTCGTGGTCCTCCTTTGGATGTTCTCTAATAGTTTAATATCTTTCTTGTATTGTGGTGACCAAAACTGCACACAGGTCTCGAGGTGAGGCCGCACCAACACAGAGTAGAGCAGGACAATCACCTCCCTTGACTGGCTGGCAATGCTGTGCTTATTTAAATTTGTGCAGCACAAGGTGCCTTGTTCTCCTAACCAACATCTTTCTTCTTTAAATATTGTTTTTCCAGAAGGTATTGAAACAATCCTGCTGGTCTTCACTATGTAAATAGAACAGAACAGGTTTCAGTTTGGATTTTTTTTCAGTTTTTTGGGGTTTTTTTCAAACAATGTAGCATTTGCATTAAGAGGACTTTCATTAAAGATAAAAAATATGTCACTCAATAGGTGTGTTAAAAAAGGCTTTTCCAAGAGGAAACAGATAGCAGCTAGAAAGATGAAATTAGAAGGAGGGAAGGGAGCTGGCGGAGTAAAAAAAAAAAAAAAAGAGAATGTTTCCATGTTTCCTCTCTCATTTTGATACTTTGAGAAGACAGTGTTGTCTCATGTATATGAGACAAAGAAAGTCTTCAATTAATTATAAGCCATCTTTAAAAGTGTTGTAATACACCTGCACTGACAGCCCTGAGAGCCTAAAAGACCTTTGTTCTCTGAGAATGAGGATGGGGCTGATTCCTTTCTCTTCAACTTGGGAAGGTGCCTCAGGAGAGGTATCTCTAGAGCAAAAGGCTTTTTAGGGAAGTTACAGATAAACTGAGGCCATTTACTTTCCTTACAGAGACTACCAAGTAGTTGTCAACTCACTTAAATTGTAATTGCCATCAGCCTAGGACTGCATCTGTTAATAAACTAGAACATTCCCCACCCCTGAAAGACAAGCTTAACTGAATGGTTCACTCTTAAATTTACTGAAAGCTTTCTGTAATATATGACAGATCTGTATAAAGCAAAGATGTAGGGAAAATGTGAAAAAGAGAACGTTGGTTATAATGACAGGGTTGTCACCAGTTTCTGCTATATGCAGAACAGAGTAGAAATCTTAAATAAAGCAAACCATGTAATAAAAAGGAAGTATAAAATTAAATCAACCTGGAAATCTTGCTTTTAGAAGCAAGATCTAAAAAAGGTACAGGTGTGATATCCTAGCATGTTCTCTCTCAGACACTGGTTAAAATACAAGTTAAACCACATGGTTGTAACCCACAAGGTTAGGGGAAAGGCCAGGTCAGTTCTCACATGGAAATTTTCTTACTTCTACTCGTGTCAGGGTCTTTAAGTCACCCAGTTTTACAGAAGATATCTAAAGTAAGTCAGATGAATTAATATGTCCTAATGTGCCTGTTCCTCTTCCCTGACTGGAATAAAACAACTGATATGCCAAGTGCAAAGGTTGATATTTATACTAGTGTTGGAATTTAGTGTTGAAATTTAGGTGAAATAAATCCCACCTTACCAACCTACAGATGGGCACCCAGGCAGTAGCAGAACCAGATCAACACACCACTGCTGACAACACGACTCTAATGTCTCTGCCATAGGTTCTCTCTCTCTCTTAAATGAGATCTGTGCTCTGTAAAGGAAATAATGTTAGTGGTTACACATTCTCAAGAAGATTGGAATTAGTGCTTTTTGTGAGGAGCTGGCATTCGCCAGGGCATGATTTTATCATAATAGGGCATTTCTCTACTTACAGGTATATGTGGTGGGAGCTGAGCACAAGTTCTCTACCAAGTTTTTGAAACATATAAGCAACTTTAGAAAAAGCTTTCTGGATTTGAATTTAACCTAAGAAGTGTAGAAGGCAACTTCTGTGACCACAGAGTGGCAGA